TTTTTTTTTTTTTTTTTTTTTTTTTTTTTTTGTAGCCCAGGAAAGCTGGGTATCTTTGATACGCGTATAACATGAATCGGATCGAATAGGGATTCATTGCAGGGAAAAGTTCAACTAATGAATAATGTGCTTGTATTGAGCGGAAAGAGAGCATCAACCCCTTGAGAATTGAAAATGACTTCAGGAAACTACTGAATAGATGATCGACCAAATTGTTGCGAATTTTTTTTAAATATTTGAAATGCAGTTTCATGAGCAGAGGAACCGTAGGTGAAGGCGATCGCGTGCAAATGATTTCTAAATTCAGTTTTCTTTTTTTAAATCATTGATGTCTATTTCGATAACAGGTCTAATTTGTTCACGCATAAATGGTTGCGGAATATTTTACAGAAGAATACTGTATACTGTAAATTCATGAATTGGATTTCGCACAATGTTGGAGAACCAAATCTACAATAATGGACTACTGTACATGTATTAGCAGAATATTGTGACGTTTTGCTGAAACTCCTAGGCTATGTTCAACTAAAATTGCTAAATTTCGTCAAGTTCATTTTTATTGATCTGTTCCTGGAGGATTGATGGAACCAACGAAAACCCTTGAAAGGTCCCCACATGTTTGACCCTTTTTTCCCCAAAATCCAAACCCTCTTGTCGATCAATTAAAGCACTGCCGAGAAAAGTTTAGAAATGAAAGCATCGTATTACCTTGAGATAAGAGATTCCACTGGATCACTCTGAATGAAAAGCCTGTTTCTTCGGGGTTTCCTGAAACACCCGCTGAGACCGGGTCGCTTTTCTGTTTTCTCGATTTGCCCTGCATGAAATTTGCAGAGATCCATTTGCGTGCCAATAGAGCTGGCCAAGCGGCCAATTTCTGTCGACAGCGTTGTATGAGGAAAGTACGGAGATCTTCGATGCCTGAAATCGTGGCTAGTTCTTCGATGATTTCATCGTCTTGCGTATCTTCTCGTGGGATCTTCTTTGTCAACGTGAAGCTTCCCATTCTGTGGAGATTGATTCGCGGAAATGTATAAAAGGTTCAACTAAAATCTTGATTTTTCAAATCATTCTTGAAATGGTTTCTTCGCACTGGATTTTGACGTTGCTCTCTTTGGTTTAAAAAAAATAAGGGGGAATCGAATCTTATTGATTCAACTGCCAATCATGAAAAAAAGTTTCATTGGCGGACGCAAAAATTGTAACTAAGTTACCTTTTGATGAAGGCAGATTCTTGACAGGGTATGGTTTACATAAATTTCCCCCGTTTCTCATGAAATCGTTATCGGATGATCTCATTGATCAGAAACTCAGTGTAAGTTAACCTCCCAAGTACACAATCGCCATTCAAAAGAAAAGAAAAAAATGATGAAAAACAATGCTACGAACCCGTAACGTACCGTAAAGTCGCCTCGTGAACAACCTTCACCTAATTTTTGATCAGTCATTGTAGATCAATTTTCTTTTCATCTAAAATATGCAGTTAATTATGGTTATGACACGTGAGATTACTATACGCCAGATTCGAATCGGATGTTGGACTTTGGCTGGGTTTTTTAAATAGCTGGCTCTCTCTAGTTTCAGTGGAGTATTCGTTGATCTTTTGCTGTTTTGTTGAGTATTCCCGCAAAAATTGTATTTTTTTTCCTGAGAAATAGCTGTGATCTTGATCATTCTTAATGACCAGCGCTGAAATCAGCAACTGAAATATGTCTGTCTTCTTTTTTTCTGGTGAAATAAAATAGGAACCCTTGACTGGTTAGTTTTACGAATTATGTTGCAGAGGAGCTACTTATGGAATAACTGGAGCTATTTACTCGGGATCTGATGATTAATTCGTCGTAAGGATAAAATCGCTTTAGAAAAAAAAATTCATGGGATGTTGACCACCTCAACATCCCTAGAATTTTAATCGATTTAAAATATTCGATTTTTTAAGAAAGTTTCGTCAAGTTGTATTTGGTCAAATTTTAATTAATTAATTGCTCACGAGTGAAAAAAGTAGATATTCTACTATTAATTGAGCCTTCGACGGAACATTCTTACCCAACTTGTGCTCGCAAAAAAATAAATGAAAATAAAATAAACCGGAATGCCTGGAGTCAATATTTTTATTGTTCAAGGTATAAAGCATGAGTTGGAAGCAAGTTTTCGATGTTTCAGAATTATGTTAGATCTTAGGATGTAATGTACTGTACTAGTAAAAAATCGTGTTTGTCCAAGATTCTGATCTATCAAGAAAGCCCTGGATTGAATTGAACTCACTTGACGATGTAAAGCAGTAGCTGTTTCGGCGGCACGTATTGTCCGCTTTTCATAAGCTTTCCCCCGAATTTGGACACTGCCAGCACGGGTTCGTGCTGCTGGACTTTCCCATCTGCTGCTGCTGCTGCATTTTCCGCGGGTTTCGGGCTGTGGGTCCGGCGACTGATGAGTGGCGATCCGGGCAAGGAGCTGAAGGCGCATTTGTTGAGCTTGTTGCGACTGCTTGCATCTGCGGGCTCTTGAAAGTGCTGCTTTCGACGCAGCATGCTGTCCCGACACATGTGCTCGGCCAGGGCCAGGGCCTTTTGCATCTCGGCCATGGAGAATGGCGGCTCTGTGGACAACGTCCGAGACATCGACTCTGGCTTGTGACTCATGACGGCGAGCGAGCTACAAATCAAGCTGTCGCGAATTTTTGTTTTGAAAGATTGTACCGATTTTCTTCCGTTCTGTTCCTTTTTCTAAAAAAAAAATATAAGAGATCGAGAAAGAAAAATACGCGGTGATACTCCGATTCTCCGGGCTTCGATGAACCCCTTCTGAAATTTCGTTTCGCTTTCGGCGGCGAAGTGCGACTGAAGCTGTCGCGAATTTAAATAATGTGTCAACTGTTTTTAAAATTTTCCTCTTTTTTGCCTGACGACGAAAAAAAAAGAAGAAACGTCACTGTGCTGTTATATTCTGATTCTCCTGGCTTCGATTATGTATAAATGGATTTCTATTCACCTGTGGGGAAACACAGTGGAGTGTATACCCGTATTCACGTTTTTATCGGCTTCCAGAAATTTTTCCTTAAAAACTCGATTGCTTCCCATGCGTGGAGGCACTTTCACAGCCACAACCATGCATAACATATGCGTTAAATGCTTGGGATACTGAGGCATTCATTAAAGCGATGAAAATTTGGTCTTCTCTTTATACGCTTTTTACCGAGAGAATGTTTTGCAGATTTTCGGATGTATTATTGCCGGAGATTTTAAAATTATTCTATATAATTTGAGTCAACATTTTTATCAAAATTTTTCTTTGTAGATCAATGCAGTTTTATGATTGGTCCTCATGATCCCAAAGCAGCTTGCGCGGTATAATTACAAGCGTATGGGATAAGCTTAATGTGAAGCCAATTATTTTCTCTCTTTCTGAGCTGCCTAATTATCCAGGCTAATCAGAGCGACAAAAGGTGTTTCGAGACTTCCGGGAATGCCGGTATTATGATGTCAAATCATCACCGTTGTAGTAAGTGTTAAATGTTTATGAATGTAAAACAAATTCAGTATTCGATAATCCGGGAAATGCATCCAGTCGTCCGTCCGATTGATATTCAAGCGAACGTTGAATGTCTCTCTCGTAAACAAATCAATAATCTTTCGCGTAATTCGATCAAATACTTCCGCCACCGCGTATATAAAAAAAAACCTCGAGATAGATTTTGATTCATTTGCTTGAAAACCGGTATTTTTCTTTCCATATCCCGCAATTGAAATGAGGAAAGAGGTAGATATACCTTTTCTTCACATCTCACTTAATCAGATTCCCTGGTCACAAATGGACGATGACAATGCGGAAACTTGTATTCACGGAAGAAAAGTGTCCGCATTTTCATGCTGATGCTGGCTTTGTGCGAGTTAGCCAATGCTCATAAGATGAATCATCCGATAACAAACAAATGCCTCAAAATCGAAACATCTTGTCATGAATGATGAGGCTTATTTTTTCTTCGAAGTATTTTACGGATTACTATTTGTTCGAACGCTCTTCTGGGAAATTTTCGGCAATGTACTGTAAATTCTGTTGAAAATATTTAATTTGGCGCATTTGTGTGTTTTCCTGTTGTGATCCTTCACTCGTACGATCTTCCTTGTGTGTACTGTTACAGTACTTAAAACTTGTATCAGACTGATTGGGCTTGGATTAAATGTTATCGAAATTTGTTCTGGTGAGCTTCAGATTGGGATCTAGTTATTCATCCAGTGTTGGATTATTAATTTTATCAAAGAAAAAAATACCCGGTGGTAAAATGAAAGAATTCGGACGCACGAATTCAAAAACTTGCTTGTTGTGTGTTGAAAATAATCGTGGGAAGACGGAGATTTAACGTCAAGTGTTCCTTTTCTGTTCACCAGAGGGCATGTGTCGCTTAAATTATCAAATCCGAGGATGCAGATAAAGTATCAACGCCTTTAATTGCTAAATACTGTATTTGGCCTTTCGTGTGAATAAATTGAACATATTATTGAGAGTTTTAGCGTCATTTTTTTGGTTGGAAGGTGGAAGTATTATCTTCAAAGAAATTATCAAAATTCAGATTTTTTTCGTAAATAATAATCGTGGGAAGACGGAGATTTAACGTCAAGTGTTCCTTTTCTGTTCACCAGAGGGCATGTGTCGCTTAAATTATCAAATCCGAGGATGCAGATAAAGTATCAACGCCTTTAATTGCTAAATACAGTGGGCCCCCACTGTACAACCGGCTCTTACTACAGCCATTTCGCTGTACAGCCACTGGTGATTGCCAAAAAAAACCCCCGCACAACAGCGGCCAACTTGCTGTACAGCCATAAAGTGCTAGCTGATGCACCCCCAAAATTTTTGAGGATTTAAATATGCACACCCTCAGACTTGGCATTTTTCATGTCTGGCACTCAGGGAAAGGTGTTTTAGAGAATTTCTGTACAGTATTGTGTACTGTTCTGCATATTTATGTGGTTAGAGTATGTTTGGGGGTGTGTATCATTACTGTTCTGTCATGTGTGCGCATTTATTTAACTGTATGTACTGTACATACATGTACTGTACTGATGTGTTCTCAAGTTAGATATTCTAGGCACTGTGTTAAATAGATTTGTTTTTATTGAGATGGCACCTAAGAAAGCAGCCAGAAAAGTGTTTTCAATCAAAGTGAAGCAAGAAATCATTAAAAAAAG